GGTATTAAATGAAGAGTAGATTCTAAAATAAAATGTTTGCCACTTACAAGTACATAAACAAAACGATAAAAAAAGAAGTGATGCCAAAAAGTCCTGTTATTACGTAAACTAATGACATACATGTGTTCTTTAAAGGAACTTTACATGATGTACACATCTAAGTTTAACAATGCTGGCAACATTAAAACAAAAAAAATAATAATCTTGATTTCAAGTTAAAATACTAAAATAATTACTAACAGATTTGTAATTAAGTTGGATATACAAAGCACACTTTTTCAGCATTTAAATAATTTCACAAGATTTAAGGATTTGTATAGGGTCATAGTAATAAAACCAAACATATGAAGTATTCAAGTTGTGTACCGAATAAAGTGTGTTATTGGCACGTATAATGTGTTTTCTAAAATAATACTCTGTACCTACACAGCTTCTAGGATTTTACGGTAATTCTCTTTTTTTTCCACTTTTTGTAAACAAAGGCTTACCAACTAACAAATTATACTTTGTTCAGAAGAAGGCATGAACTGCTTATGCATTACATTTAAGTTCACGTATTATAGTATTGTGATGTGTGAACGTGCAGATATAGCCAGAAACTTAGACAGGTCAAATAAAAAATTGCTGCCTTTTTATACTTGCTTCATGCAATACTGGTTTAATTATGCTCAGCTGCATTGCTTTTAAATGGGAAGATATGTCTGCCGATGTCTTTATAAATGGTCAAGCTAAATCCTTCAGAACTGTAATTTTTCCCCAGACAGAAGTCAGCCAGGTTCTGTCTGTCGCTCCTCAGAGGTGCTCGTATTCCTAACGGTGTACATGTCTGAGCTTGTTTTCAAGCTACATTATTCCTGCAGGCAAAAGAAAGGCAGTTATAACAGCACAGTAGGACGTCAACATCCTCTCTCTAGATACATCACAATCTGAGAAAATAAATCTACCATCTGAGACAATCTTTAGCAGAAAATTGACAATCTGGCAGCACTGAAACTATTTTAATAATGATACAGATTTCATATATAACAGTTGTAAATAGAAATGCACCTCGAAACAAAATGCATTTTCTTTATTATATTCTTAGAAGCAGTATAAAATGCCCACAGCACAGTAAATAAAAGCCAAACCACAGCCATGTGAGGTCATTTTGCATCCACAGCACAATGTGGTGATTGGTTTAGATAGCATGTTATTAAGTATGTTATAAATGCAGACGGAGGGGTTAACAGTGAGCAGACAGGGTCAGGCCAGACACAGCTTCATGTTTTCAAATTATTTCAAAGGCTAAGATAACCAACATACAAATCTTATATTATATATACACAATTTTAGAAGGGGAAACATCTAAATAAATCTTATTTTAGTCTGTCAGAGCCACATACCTTTTTGAGTCAAAACTAATTGTATAATTGCTAATTATACAGTAAATTCTTAAAATCTTTCAAGTAGAAACTAACCACTTGGCTCATGATCTTCGGGCGAGAGGTGGATCATGTTTACCTAGAGTGGGGCTTTAAATGTAGTGGCTGCATTTGTTTTCTTTTTTTTAGCCTTTTTTCACCTAGTGATTCTGCAGTGACACACTTCATATCTGACAATGCATGATTAAATGTGTCTGCAATAAGGTCTGCATTGCCTATAACACCTATTCAGATTTGTATTAGTTGCTAAGGGCAACTCAGATGGTTCTTTGGAAATCTGAAAACAAGGGGTTGATTTACCAAAGACAAATAGAATGTTTATATTGCAAATTTCCCCTTACCTAGTGAATGTGATGCAAGTTCACTTTGCAAAGAATGCCCATTCATGGGAAAGGAAATGTAAAAAAACAAAAACAAACCAGTATTTTTGCTTGAACATGATTGGACGATAGAAGATAGCAGAGCTTCACCTCATTCACCAAGCTAAAGGGAAAATTCCCCTACAAAGTGAACAGTCAATTTGCCTTTAGTGAATTAACCTCCATGCGTCTTGGAAAGCCAGTTTGTCAATGACTTCAGAAATATATCTTCCTGTAGCCTTTCTTGGGTTAGTATTTATCAGGGAATACGGTTTATTATGACATATTAAATACAAAACATGGGGAAAATATAAATATAACGCAGTACCAACATGTAGACAAGACAAATATCATTTTTTCTGTTCTATCTGAACACACATAATGAGTTACATGATAGAAATGATCAACCATCTCATCTACAAAAGGAGAATACTCCTATGATACAGCTTAAGCTTTACTTTAGTAAATAAGGCTTTATGTGTACAAGCTAGTCAGCTATAATTTCCCTTTCAATGATGGGAACACAAAGTAAGCACACTGCATGAAGATGAAAACGGCTTGATACCATATGAAACAACACCGATTAAAAAGGCAGGTTTTTTTTTTTTCAAAATGTTGCCAAATTTCCATACTGCTGTCATTTTGGGTAAAGCAAGAGATGAGCAAGTGTGATGCTGTTTACAAAAAAAGTTAAATGATATTTACATAGTTTAAAAGGTTTTGTTCACATTAGGCTATAATTTGAAATATTTTTTTGACCACTAGACTCGTCCACACCAGCCTCATTGGGCTGCTTTGGACAGCATTGCCCAACACATTCCCTACACGTCGACAAGACAATTTGCCTTACATCCTACTGTCTCAGTTCACATCAATGAGTTGTATTGGTGTGCGGTGAAAACAAATAGCACAGGTTGCATTTTTATGGATGTGTTTTCAATATATGCAGCGCCAACAAAAAATTAGTTTAAGACAGAGCACTTTTGTTTCACCTATCCAGCGCAGAATCAATAAACACATATGCATTTTTATGGAGTGTGTTTCAAAACACCACCTCACAACACATTGGGGTGCAAAGAATTAAAGGCCATTTTGTAAAATTTCACTAAAAAAATAACACAGCCCCTAAACAAACGCACACCAGTGGCTGTGCATTATACAGAACATAATGCATGCCCACTGGTTAAAATGGACCTTTTGCAAACATGCCCATAGACACAGGAGGACAGTTAGCCATGCAGAGACTAGCCCCCCTAGCAACTGGTGTTACCAAGAACTCATACACTTGTCTATGTGAGTGAAGAGAGGCAGGGGTAGCAAGATGCTACTGTAACCACTCATTACTTAAAGAAATGGTTGGTTGTCGGTTATCTCCTTATATATGGGCAGCCTAAGACTTTTTTGCCTGTTATGTACATTTGCTGACCCTTTAAAAGATTTCATATTCCATTATTATAGCTGAATGGTTGAGCAACATTTATCCTGCTAGGCAAAACCTGAAATGCTGGATTCTAGTGCTAGGCAAAAACAGGAGAAGATGACATGCAGGAAGACCTGTTAATGTTACTAATTACAATATGCAGAAGCACTGTTTAGCTCATAAAGGAGAACCTTTGAACCATCCCTAACTACTCTTCTTCTTACTCGTCCCGCATGGAATAATCTAAAACTGTAATACTAAATTGGGGTCTAGTTATACTGTTTGATTTTACGTTCAGCGGAAATTTATATCACAGCTGCAAAAAAAAATAGATTGCAACTGGCTAAACTCTATAGAGACAGTTCCTAAATATCTATATTGCCTGGTGTACAAGGCTCAAGTTATCTGCCCACCACTATGCAGGTGAAAAAAAGGAAATAATTTATTTTGGAAAAAAGATAACACAAATTTGAATCCAATAGGAATGAACACCTTGATCTTTAAATTCATATGAAGGGATTGGATAATAATATAACCAATGTAGAAACCTCCTTTTTAATTTAGTCTTTACAATTCCTCAAGTAATTCATACATAAACTGCCTTGTTAATGGGGTGCATTAGCTGTTAAAAAAGCAGACTAGTGAAAATGCATGCATAAAATCTCTTGGTCCACACTTGGTCCATGCAAGTAAAAGGAGAATATTGGGGTTTGTTAACAGTAAGCAAAGGGGAAAATGCTTCTTGCACATGCCAGTCTGCAGCTTTTCCAGGAAAGCCATGGATGCTTCTTACCTGTGGTCAATCCTCCCCTTCTTCAGGTGTGATTTCTGTCTCTTTATGTACCACTACTTTGGTCACTGACATGTCAGGGTGCTGCTCTTTGGCCTCTTTTATTGCCTGAGCCAGCGCCTAACGCAAGAAGAACCAAAAAAGGGAGGGCGGAAACAAAAAGGGGGTGGAACATGCATGATCAGTGGTAAGGTGGATATTAATGAGAAAATTTACACCATTTACAAATGCAGATAGACAATTAAACATGAATTACTTTAAAAAAATTACATGTTGAAGCAACGCAAAAGTTGATACTTAGCCCTTCCCTGCTTTTGAAATATCAGCAGACTGTATGGAAATTGAACATTTTCCCCCCAGTTATGAATTTGGTGTCTTAATGTAAAGAGATGTCTTAATGTAACAAAAAAAAAAAGTCAATTTATCACAATAAATAAAAAGCAAGACTGGCCAAGTATGACTTCTGGCTGCTGCCTATTTTGAATTAATTGAGCAGTGTTACTGGAAAGACCAGCACCCTGGTAAATATATAGAGATTTCCTCTTTACTTTACCTGATCATGGTCGATGTCAGCATCTCCGGTAATCACTATACGCTTTTCAATTCTGGTTTCTGAAATGCCTCCTTTCACAGTCTATGCAGAAATGAAAATAACCATTAAATAAAAAGGTATCAAACATCTGGTTGTGCAAGAAATATCCTAGGCCCTTATCAATCCCAACCATTCATTTCTGCTGGTCCTGATGTTTCATGCTTAGGCACACTCTGTACAGCCAGAGATAAGACAGAATGTGCAATATGCCTAAGCAAAGTAATTGAAACTAGCCTATATGTAATCTCCTGAGTGATTGTGTAGTTTATGTGCACTGAGTTAAAATTACATTTCCTTTCCAGCAATACTGTTCTAAATACCAAATCACCAAGTACCAGTACAATATTAAACCCTTATAATAAACTAAAGAAGTAAAAAAGGGTAGAGTCCTTTATTTTAATAGCAACCATCCCAATTGTTCTATACATAATTTGCCATAGTATATTTATTAATCCTTGAAAATAATATGTTTAAGCATTGCTAACAGACACCTTTAAGGCCTCATTCACACACAACGCAAGAGCAAAATTGTATATTGCGTATATGCGCGCACTATATGCAATCCAAGAATGCATCATTCATAATAGAAATTTTAATTAACTATATGTGCGTATATGCGCGTAAATACGCTGCCCGGGTGCATCTTGGTTCCATTCTGTTTTTGCACATTTTTACGCTACGCAAATATACGGCTCAATACGCGGCTATGTGTATGGAGCCATTTATTTACCTATGTTGCATATGGTACAAGACGCACATGCGCGTATATGTGCGGCAGTGTGAATGAGGTCTAACTCGCATAAAAAGATATATATAAAATAGTATTCAGTAGTAAAAAAAAATATATGATAACACAGGTGCACAGACTTGTGTTACCTGCATCAACTAATTGTTAATGTTATACCCTGTGCACAAATTACTGCAAATCTACCCTGAAAGATTTGATGGAAGTCCATAGAAACCAACCAGTGATCATTTTACTCACAGGTTGTAAAGTTTACATAGTAACAAAAAGCAGTGCGTTTCTGGAAATATTACTGATCTGGAAATGGTCAAACACAAAAATACATTGGGACAACACAGTACAAGGGTGTGAGGGTGGAAAACTCTTGTATGTTTTGTGCACACAGGTGAATGTATGTTTGCTTGCCTGGCATTGTAATATATCGTACTTGGTATATGGCCACACACTTAACTGGCTGTACTAACAAGATGAATGAAACTTGCTTGCTTTGTTCACATGGCAAATAGTTTAAAACATTTTGGAGGGCTTGATTGAGACGTGCACTATTTTCATCCTTCAGCATGCATTGTAGTCTCCTGGCGTTTTCAGAAAATGCAATTGTTAATACTGTATTATATGTGGGGCAGCCTGCCATGCACATTACTTTAATGCAACACATGTGCATTCTGTGAACCTTTTTGAATGGTCTTGATTTCTGCATAAATGCTTGAATGTGGTCCGATCATCAACAATCACAATAAAAGACACAGTCTGATTTTGCATACACAAATGATCATGTTGCA